TTAGATATTACTATTAATTTTAGTGATGTATAATTTATTGTACTCTTGTGGTCATAATCATAAAGAAGGATCAATTTAGATCTATCTATAGCTAGAACCTTATAATTTTAGGTTATTTGATAGACAAGATGTTACGTGCGTAAAACTAGCCAAAGACTTTGTTCAATTGCAGTTTTAATAGACGAGAGCCTTCACTCCAATTTGAGCAGTGCTTATTTTATTCCAAAAGTAAGCCGCCTTCAATTTCATGCAATTAATCGTACACTGTCATAAAAGCATATCAAGGTATTATAAATATATGTATAGAGATAAAAATTGACGAAACATGTACTCGCATTTTCGAAGAAATAAATATTCAGGATTAAAAATGGGTGATGTGCATAACATAAACTTAATAATTAAAGTGCGAGTTGATTATAGAGCGTCTATATTAATTGGATAACTTCATACTAGCTATCTTATGTTAAATTAAATACGCTTATTTATCTTAAGCTGTCACTTAATTTTGTTTATGCTAACGTTGAAATATTCAACTAAAGGACTAAATGAAGGTAAATTGACGTATAAAATGAAAATTAAATTATTCATCGTAAGTAGTAATACACATGAATGTGCAAATTTTATTAGTGTTGTTGTATCATTTATTTTACATCGTTAATGTCAGTGTAATAATGTTTAAGATGCAAGTTGATTATTTATCATTCATTGAGACTCGAATTTTTCAACTTACATTTTAAATCGGATGGGTGATGACTAAATCTTCACAGACAAACATCAGCTTCCTAGCATTGTTTGGATTATTACGGAATAACAATCGTTATGATAAAAATTTCGCCAGTAATTGTGACTATAATTATATGATTATCATCCTGTTTCATAACGATTTATTACTCGTATGAATTTAAAAATTCTTGGAAATTAGGAGCAATGCAATATTTTATTTTATAAGGATTATAATATAAATGTATTTATAATTTTCGAACTACCTTAAAAAATCTCTGAAGCCTTATCTTTAAACTTTTGATTCCGTGATGTGAAACAAATTGGAACATTATTGTTACATTTATTGGGCAAGTATTAACACAAATAAAAATTAAATTTTGCTATTTTATACTTTTTTAAACAGTAAGGATGAATTTACGTTTGATTTTATTTTGCTAAAGCCAAAACACATTGGTTTACATGCTAATTTTGATACAAATTAAACTAAGCTAGTCTTCTGTTTTTGGAAAGATTTCATAGTACAGATTAATGGAATATTATAATATAAGTATATGCACCCAAAGCACTTTAAATATCGCCATCATCATGTTCTTCCAAATAATTAATTTTAAGTATTATAAGTGAAGAAATAAAAAAAAAAACAGAATTGAAACTATCAACAACCAAAAAACCGAACAAAAAGAAGAAAGTTTTAACATACAATACTTCGACCTCGAAGGTCTTAGAAATTAAACTGGTTCTTCAGAAAAATCTTCTTTTACTCTCTACTCTAAATTTTCTGATTTCACTATCATTTACAGGCCTCGCAGAGCCCTCAGTGGTATTTAAAAGTAAACTTTTATTAACTAGTCACTATTAAGATCCATTTTAGAAAACTACTTTGCTCAACTTAAGAAAACGAAAATGATTCAAACTTCAGACACAATTCATCTTATGATTCCCTGACAAAACACTATAAAACTAATAAAGTAACTATAAAATACATCAAGCTTCCCTTCTAACATAATTCTTAATCGCTATTACGTTATAAAAGTCTAAAATTTACCTTTAAATATCAAGATTTAGTCATAAAATAACAGTTTAATTACATAAGGATCAACATAATCTATTCCATTTGCTATCTTATTTTCTATTTTCTCAACTAAACTTTCCTAATCTAACTTTCATGTCATGTCGTAAAATTCCAAAGTTTCAAATTTACAACAAAAAGTTCAAATTTCAAAAAATCAACTCCCACAACATTTTCCAAAAATTAAAAATTAAAATCCAAAATTTATATCTGATACAGATCCGACCGGTTCCGGAATCTGAATCCGAAAAAATTCAAATTTTATAAAGATCACATAATCGCTAGTCAAAAAATGTTACATGACAACTAAGACTACTTTTCTGACATTAGTATTGACAGTTGATGTTTTAGAATGAAGTTGTGCAGTAGCTGTACGATTATAGCCTAGATTGCAGTACTTTAATGTCAGGTTCTAATTCCCCTTTCTATATGGAAAGAGCTTTGTTACTAAGTCAAATTCAATTACAATTCTAATAGACTATCAAACATCCTTTCTTTAGATTAGGCGATTGCTCTTAGGTTATTCCTATAGTAATCTATACAGAGCCTTGTAAAGTAATGAAGAGGGAAAGATAGCAACTTCGCAATTTGGTCGGGTAAAACTTCAAGATACTTTCATTTTCAAGGTATTTTCTATAGTAAAGTAATATTAGTTTTATACTAATAGCTATAAAGGACTCTGCTTTTTTTGTCCTTTGCTACAATCACCTTAGTATTTCCTTTATTATTGGCATCTGCTTTCTGTCTATACATTGTAGTGATTAGCTTAACTATCTTAAGCCCAAAATCCCTACATTTGATATAAATTTTAAATTTTAATACATGAATAAAGTGTGGCTAGGTTTCATAAAAATTTTTTCTATTATCTACTATTGTACACGAGATATCTAGATAAATATTTTGGTATGATATGATTCATGGTATCCTCCTTAAATGTTAATATAAGCGGGAATATTGGTGACTGGCATGCACAGTTTATTACTTTAATTTACGTAATTGATATGCATCTATATTACTAACATAAATGCAATGATGATAGGGGCATGTACTACCTACTAGATGTAAACAAATTGAACTTTTTCTTAAAATTACTAAAAAATATCTCTGTGGACACCTTTTCTAAAATAATATTTATTGCAAAATTCTGTAGATATTGGCTAACAAATTCATTTGAAGAATTAAAGCAAGCATGATTAATAGCTGCCGCGTTCAATTGATAGCAACAATTAACTAATGCATGGCTAGGAATTCTAAAAGTGCAATAGGCAAGTAAATGTAAATTGCTTACTAATAAATATCTACAAAACAAACTATATTCACGAATTTTGCTTTTACATGATGCTCTATTTAAACGTAAATATAAAAATTGACATTTTACCGGTGTTCCATAATAGTTAACATAAAAGTTATAATCAACTATTGAAATAAGGAGTAATAAATATATCGTCCTTCGACTACAATTTTCAAACTAATTATTGACGAAGTAATTTTTTATACTAACCTTCACATCATTCTCAGATAGTCAGCGATTATTAGTAATTATTAGACCTTGCAAGAGAAGCACTTTCAATCTATCTAAAAAAGAGTCAAAATTTATGGGTAATATCTCAAACTATGAATATTGAATCATGTAAATAATATAATTAATGTTCAACGAGATTTTCATGTTTTACAAAATACTTCTTCAGTTGTGAAGCCATATATTAATTAAATGATCAAGTTATCCATACTAATAGGATATGAAAAATATGACTATCATAAACTACTCTCTGTGGCAAGAGAACATAAACCAAAGTCTTAAAGTAACCTAGTGCAATGATTTCAGCTAATTGTAGTAGTATATGTAATAATTTAGCTTAATTTTGCTAAGATACCCTAAGGTTGCTGACACTTTGAACCAAGATAGAGATTAGGGGAACAACACCAGTTTATTTAATATATTTTACTTTATAAATTAAAAAGCCGTTTAAGTGAGTCTTGCAATAGGTATAACATTATACTGTCTGACACAATCCTTCCACTATCATCTACACTAATTTGGATATTACTTGCAAGTCCTACTCTAAATTCTTAAATCATCTTACAATACATTACTAAATAAAGAAATATTCTATGAAGGAGAATACTAAATATTAACCTTCATTACATATAGTAGGTGGTTAAAAGAATTAGATAGCGCACTTGCAATTTTCTAGTATAAGACACCTTATGTCACCTTATGTAAACGCTATCATACCCTTACAGACTTCACTCGATAAGTATTTGTATCATATTAGAAGTTTACTCTATATTAAAAAAGAATTTGAGATAGATAAAGGTCATTTAAGGGCTACAAAACCCTTTTATGACACTCGTAAATTTTTAGCTAATAGTTTAAAGCTTGGAAAACTTCAGCAAGTTACGAATAAATATCAGTACTTTATTTTTAAATGTGAAGATAAATGAGCAAAGAGCAAATTGTGATGTTAGAAAAAGTACAATATACCGATAGATATATATGTTATACACAAATAAATGCACCATGTAAATGGAAATGTAGAAATCACGTATGAAATATATCTGGTATATTTTATTTGTGTTTATGATAAGAAAAATGTACTGAACTAAAATGTGAAGAAAGTGCA